ATGAGTTGAATGTTTTTCCTTGAAAGAACTTACTGATCCAGAGAAGTCATACCACTTCCAAAGTAACCATTGCAGATTAGCTACCTTGTGTTCATACTGCACGAAGAGCAACAGAATTATCCATGACATTGGGGCAAATGTTCAGATGGTAAAACCACTTGTCTTGCAAGCCTGATGACCAGTGTTTGAGCTCTAGAACCTACGTAAAAGTAGGAGAGACCCAACTGTTGTATTTTAAAAACAGCAGGAAGGAGTCCGACCATACAGCAGGGCCAAATAAGTCAGTGCACCCAAACTTGTGCTTGTACAAATACGGGGGAAAGACAAGCAATATAGCTTGGAAATTCAAGATTTTAACATACGTTTCACAGGGGTTTTTGTTGTTATTTTGTTTTTTATTTTTCAGGGTTTTTTGGGGGGGTGTTTTGGGGTTTTGGGGTTTTTTTTTTTTGTTTGTTTTTTTTTTTTTTTTGAGACAGCCACTGTCCTGGAACTTGCTCTATAGACCAGGCTGGCCTCAAACTCAGAGATCCGTCTGGCTCTGCCTCCCAAGTGCTGGGATTAAAGGTGTGCGCCACCACTGCCCAACTATGTTTCACAGTTTTAATACAATTTAGTGATAGAAGTATTTTTATATAATTTTTGTCTCTTAGAAAATGTTAAAAGTGTTTTTGCAGTTGCTGGGAATATATGCTAAGCAAACAGTCTACCATTGAGCTATCTCCCCAGCTAAAGGTAAATCAGGGCTGTATTTTAAAATACTAGAAACGAGGGCTGGGGAGCTGGCTCAGCACTTGTAGAGGTCCTAGGTTCAGTTCCCAGCACCCATGTGAAGGCTCACAACTGCCTACAACTCCAGTTCAAGGGGAGCCAGTACCTTTTTCTGGCCTCTCAGAAACCAGGCATGCACGTTGTACTAATAAATAAAAGCATGTACTCACATCAAATAAAAAAAATGAATGAATAAATAGAATTAAAATATTAGAGGCAGAAATATGTGTTATTTTTTGCAAATTTTCATGGATCAGAATTTATATCAAAATTCAGCATATACCTTATACCAGATCTAAGTTGGAGCATAAGAGACCCCCTCAGAGTGGGTAATTTCTAGCTTCAGATAGAACCCAGGTGATGTTTGCGTTGAGCATTGTATGACTCCCGACAGGCCGCTGATCCAAGCCTGCTAATGTTAAATGTAGAGAGCCAGAGCTGCATAGGAGAAAACACACAGAAGAGCATGTGGCCTGGGCAGCCCGTGTAACTTCATTAATCTCCTCTGCCCATGTATGTCTGCCTGACAGCCAAATGTAGTGCAACATTTTGACACAAGGTGATGTGGAGGGCTTAATATTTTTAAGTTGAACCATATAAATCCCTATAATTAGGGGTAAATGCCCTCTTTTCTGACTATGTTATCTCAAGTAGAAGGAAAAAAAATGTTGGCTGATTAATGGTCTGGCCAGCAGAGGTCAGTCCAGATATATTAAGACCAGATTAATCCAAGGGCACTTTAACTGATCAGCCACTCCTGCTTTATTTTGTTCAACAACCTTGCAGTTAGTCTTATCTATAGGAGTTACTTCTTAGAAGGATGAAATACTAAGAAATTCTCTCTCGTCATGTGTGCCTGTAATCCCAGGACTCAGAAGGACAGGACAGGAGAATCTTAAAATTGAGGTTAGCCTGAGCTACACAGTATGTATCTCAGGCTTTTTTCAAATCCATAATCCTTTTGCCACTACCTCCCAAGTGCTGGGTAATTTTTAAGAGAAACAGTTGGGAAATACTGCATTACCATGAAGAAGTACCTGAAATAAATGCAAACCTAGACTACAATAGAACATCATATGAATGTGTTCAGAAAGCTGGAAACCAGTTAAATTCCAGTTGAGGATTTGGCAGAAAGCCTGAGAACCTTGCCCTGACTGGGGAAGGTTGAACCACCTGCTGTTACCTGGTTGTTATTTGCTGCTGCTAAGGTATGTGGAAGAAAGCAACGGATGGCCTCCCACGGTCCACCTGTAGAAGTAGCAAAGAAACACTGCTATGGATTCAACTCTCTCAGGCCCAGCCTTCTCTACTTGAGGTTTCCACTGGACAACCCTTCATCTCCCTCCTCTTCAAGGCCTTTCTGTCCAGGAAAAGGGATAGCTGGTCAGCAAATCCACAGCAAATTCAGACAGTGTGCTAACCCTCCAGTTAGGGAGCAAAGAAAGGCACACCTAGAAATCCACTGTCTCCAGTTTCAGGGTGAGAAGGGACTGCTTACAGGTGGCAGGAGCCATCATTCCTTTCCTCTCTGGCCTCTGGTCTTTGGAGCCAGCTCTGTGGTGTGGTCATCTCCAGTCATGTAGTTTTCCTCCTGAGTCTTGTTCTCTCGGTCCCTGGATGTTCCTGAAAGCAGCCTCCCCACTCACTTCAGGGGAGTCAGGAAGCCAGGTGTGGTCTCACTCCAGCTCTGCTCCTGCTATTCTTGCTGCAATGCTTGGTGTGCCAACACCCATTCTTACCCCACAGTACTTCTGCAAAGCCTTCTTCTCCCTAGTGCTCCTGCTCCACTCTGCATCTCTGCAACATACAGTATCAATGCTAAATTAAACTCCCACCTCCCCCGTGAAACCCAAGTCACCCCATCATCTTCTAGACCTGCATCCTCATGCTTGCGTTCAGTCAGCTCCATGGTGACTAGCCCTGCTCACACCTGGCAAACAGCAATATAGTATCACTGTCCTGGAAGGAAGAGACTCGAGGTCTTACATCGCTAAAGCTGTAACAGACTTGTAAATGGGGTGCAAGGTGCACAGATGACCTATCTTCCATGAACCCAAGGCCACCCTAGTGCCTGGGTATAAATAAACCCAACAGTGCTAGGGGGCAGAGGTTGGGGGAATGTGAGGCCCCAAATTAATTCAAATTTAGGTTTCTGCTGACAATATTTCTTCCACACTTGAGGGCTGTAGTCTGAATTTAATACCTGCAACATTCATAAAAAAATTAATAGCTTGGCCAGGCGGTGGTGGCACACACCTTTAGTCCCAGCACTCAGAGGCAGAGGCAGGCAGATCTCTGTGAGTTCAAGGCCCACCTGGACTACAGAGTGAGTTCCAGGAAAGGCGTAAAGCTACACAGAGAAAACCTGTCTTGAAAAAAGAAAAATTAATAGCTCACTGTACCACCTCCCCGCACACTCCGCCAGCTTCTCCTCCTGTCTCTACCACCCTGTGTTACTCTCAGTTTCTGTGATTATTTGTACTCTGTTGTTATTTTTACATATTAACTGATGAACCTTGTCAACTTGATTGGACTAAGGGATGACTAAGATGTTTAGTAGAAGATGAGTAAACGTTAAGTTAAAAAAAACCATCTTGGTTGTGTAAGACTTTTTCTGAGAACACTAATGAAGAAAACTCACCCTGAATATGGATGGCACCATCCAGTAGGCTGGGAGCCTAGACTGGATAAAGAGCAATGGCTCAGCTGACAGAGGCACTTTCTACCACACCTGACGACCTGAGTTTGGTCCCTGGAACCCACATTGTAGAAGGAGATAACCAACTCCTTCAAGTTTCCCTCTGACCACACACATGCACTGTAGCATGCATGCTTGTGTGTGTGTACACACAAATAAATGTAACTTTAAAATTCCTTTACAGTTTGTTTTTAAGAAGAAGGAAGCCTGTTGGCATGGGTACATTCTCTCTCTGCTCCGATTGCCATGCAGTGAGCTGCTTCCCTACCAGGCCCTCCCTCCGTGATGCTTCTGTCCTACAGTGCCCTAAAAGCATGGCCACAACCAACCATGGGCTGGAACTGTGAACATCGAGAAGTGAGGGCCTTGCTGGGACCTCCTGACCATGTGGTTTTTAAGATTTTTTAAATTGGTTTGAATATTAAATGTGAGAAGCAGTCCAGAAGGTTTAAAAAGCTAAAACAGGGTTCTGGTAAGAGATCCGGAGCTAGAATTTTAGTAAAAATATGAAGAGTAAAAAGTATTCATGAGGACTTTTTGGGAATTAAAGCAGAGGCCACTCGTGAAATTCTAGTTAAGAAAAAAATGTTCCGTGCTCTAGATTTTGAGGCTGAATTTTTTTTTTTTAATGAACTGATTTGACAGGAAATTTCAAGGCAGCCCAGCATTGGGGCTGTTCTGTAATTATTGCTAGAGCCTTTTTGCCAAGTTTACAATAAGACTTGAGAGTAAAAAAATCATAGCTAAATGTTAGAAGAACAGAGTTTTCTCGGAAAAGGAGCCCATGTACTGTTAGGGTCGAGGAAAAAGTGGCTCTTGAAGAGATTGGAGCTGTTAAAATAAGGCAAGTCGGGCATGGAGAGATGACTTAGAGGTTAAGAGCACTGATTGCTCTTCCAGAGGTCCTGAGTTCAATTCCCAGCAACCATTTGGTGGTCCACAATCACCTATGATGAGATCTGGTGCCCTCTACTGGCATATAGGCTGTATATATAATAATAAAAAATTCCAAAAAGGGGGTGGGGAGGCAAGTGGTTTATATCCAGGCAGTAGGGATAATGCCTTGATTTTAGGAATGAGATTCTACCCATCTCTACGTCTTTCTTGATCCAAGAGGTTTGTGGCTATAAGCAGGCCTTGACGTTGTCCATAAGGTGCTCCATAAGATGCTGGCTATGCAGACAAGCGGAGTCCAAGTGTGCCCACCTAGACTTGAAGCCTGGAAGGAAGCTACAGTCCCAGAGAGGGTTTTGTGTGAAGCTGGGAGGGGGAAGCCAAAGGTACAGTGGAGACCCCAGAACCATCTGCCAAGTGCAGGTACGGGCAGTGAGCACACACCGGCCTGAGAGAGGCATGGTGGGCTACACAGCAAGGCCATCGCGGTGGGACCACCTCAGCCCTCCCAGTGCACCTCACACCGTGCACCCGGACGCCAGCCACGGAGCTACAGGATTTAATGTTCTCTCGGCTGCATTTGGCTTGCCCGAATCCCATTCTTCCTTTCCACACCCCGTTCCTCTCTTTCAGAATGAGAATGCTTACTGTGGACCTACATGTTGGAAGTATGAGGCTTGCTTTTTAATTTTATGGGGGTTCACAGCTTACCTTGAGTCCCAGACTTGGACTTCGCAGCAGTACCAGAACTGTTAAGACTGTGGGCACTTGAGATGTATTACATCAATAGTTCTCAACAGGTGGGTTGCAACCTCTTTGGGGTCAAGCAGCCCTTTCACAGGGGTTGCATATAAGATATTCTGTGTATCAGATATTTACATTACAATTCATAATAATATTACAGTTATGAAGTAGAAATGTAATAATTTTGTGTTTGGGGGTCACCACAACTTGAGGAACTGTGTTAAGAGTTACAGCATTGGGAAGGTTGAGTGACTGTACTAAATACTGTTTACATTCTGCGATGGAGATGAGGATTTGGGGGCTAGGGTGGAACAGTATGGATTGAATAGGAATGTCCTCCATAAGCTCATCTCTCTGGGCCTCGGTTGCCGCTAATGTGCTTTAGGGAAGTGATTGAATCTGAGGGGTTTGGCCTAATTGAGGGATTAATCCACTGATGGAGTCAGAATATGTGCTCTTGCTGGAAGGTGGTAAAAAGTAGGTGGGTCCTAGCTGGAGGGAGTAGGTGACTAAGCGTGTGCCTAGGAGAGCCATATTGTGTCCTCTGTTCCTTTTTTGGCACTTTCTGCTTCCTGTCGGCCACAGGGAGAGCTGCTTTGCTCTACTGCATGCTCTCTGCCATGATGTTCAGCTCATCTTGGATTGGAACCTCTGAATCCATGAGCCAAAATAGTTCTTCCCCATAAGTGCACCTCCCTCAGGTATTTTAACACAGTTATGAATAATGAGCATATTAATGTAGTAGCAAAACCTCAAATCTATTATTTTCATTAAAGTAAGGTTATTTTGGTTTTGGTTTTGAGCTGGTGTGTGTGTCAAGGATTAAAAGCAGAACTTTGCACATGCTAAGCCAACACTTCTACTACTAAACAACACCCCCAGGCCCTTAATGTATGTGTGCTGTTAAGATTTATTTATTTATTTATTTATTTATTTATTTATTTATTCATTCATTCATTCATTTATTTATTTTGGCTTTTTGAGGCAGGGTTTCTCTTTGTAGCTTTTGGAGCCTATCCTGGAACTCATTCTGTAGACCAGGCTGGCCTCAAACTCACAGAGATCTGCCTGCCTCTGCCTCCCGAGTGCTAGGATTAAAGGTGTGTACCACTGCTGCCTAGCCTTAAGATTTATTTTTATTAGTGTGTGTGTTGGGGGGTAGTACCATGTGTATGCAGGACCCATGGAGGCTATAGGATGTTAGATCCCTTGAAGCTGGAGTTACAGGCAGTTGTGAGGCACAATGGATGCCAGGAACTGAACTCAGGACCTCTGGAAGAGCAGCAGGTGCTTTTAACCACCAAGCCATCTCTCCAGCCTCTCTCTGCCCCCACCATGTTTTTTTTTTTTTTTTTTATAAACAGTGCATTAATGGAAACAAAGTAATTCCGTAAAAATTACTTAAAATTCATTAAGAAGGCCAACATATTAGGAGACAAATGCCATTGAAAACTGCACTTATATTTACATTTAAGAGTAGGAGCTAGCTGGGCGGTGGTACACACTTTTAATTCCAGCACTCGGGAGGCAGAGGCAGGCGGATCTCTGTGAGTTCGAGGCCAGCCTGGTCTACAGAGCGAGATCCAGGACAGCCAGGACTGTTACACAGAGAAACCCTGTCTTGAACACTCCCCTCCCCCACCCCCCAAAAGAGAAGGAGTTATACCACATCTCAGAGATACAGGAGACAACATTCATGTGGACCTCAAGCAGAGAAAACACGACTGAGTTAAAGTGTTTTACAGAAAGGAAAAGGCAAAGCTGGGTAAACCAGTTTCAAGATAGGTCTTCGGTAGTGTGGGGCTGTCCCTAATTGTCTCCAAGTGTCCCTGATGTAATTAGGGCAGGAGGATCTAGAATGGATTGCAGATAAAGTGGGCCACAAAGGGAGTCTGGGCTTCCAGGCCTGGGATTGGCTGGTTTACACATGAAAAGTGCTCTGACAGCCACAGCAGGTTTGCTGGGAATGAGCCATCTGGAGCAGGGCAGCCCTGCCCCACCCCAGGATGAGCATGACCTGGTGTTAGTGCGTCTGAATTACGGGAGGGAGAAAGATGTGGGAAGTAGAACATCACTGAGTAGTCAAGTAAGTAGGAAGCAAACATTTGGGAAATTTGGGGTATTGTTTTTTTTTTGTCATTTCTAGAATAACATCTTTCAGTTTCCTGAAGTGGTTGTTTTATTTGCTTGGTGGCGTTTGTCCATCAGCAAGGGTTTTAAGGTTTTACCATATTACAGAACTTTTATTAAATTTGTTCCTGGACGTATATGGGTTTCATTATTGATGTAAGTATGTTCTCTGTTTCCACTGTATTTTATGTGTAGTTCTTGTAATTTTGTGTGTTGATTTTATACTTAATGAATATTTCCTTCTTGAGATGGGTTTTCATATAACCCACATTGGCCTCGAGCTCACTATTTAGCTGATGACCATGAACTTCTGATCCTCCTGCCTTCACCTTCTGAGAGCTGCGAGTCTAGGTGTGTACCACTGTGCCCCATTTATTCAAGGCTTTGTGCATAACATGCAAGTATTCTACCAACTGAGCTACATCCTCAGCCTTGCAGCCCTGAAGGAATTAATTATCTTTTTTTTTTTTTTTTTTTTTTTCCCGAGACAGGGTTTCTCTGTGTAACAGCCCTGGCTGTCCTGGAACTCATTTTGTAGATGTGGCTGGCCTCGAACTCACAGAGATCCTCCTGCCTCTGCCTCCTGAGTGCTAATCCTAAAGCTGTGTACCACCACTGCCCAGCTGGAATTAATTATCTTGGGACTTTTCCTTTCTCATCTAGTGGTTCATATTTGCAAAGCAATGTTCAGTTGTATTGGTGGGCAGGTGTGCATCTAAATGTTTCAGAATCACCACATCCCTTCTCAACTTTCCTCTTAGGGAGCAAAAGATGACAGGAAACCTCCAATGAGCATTTCCTGGGGCTGCAGTGTTTGCATACTGTTCCAGTTTTTAAATGTTCTCCAAAATAGATTTGAAGTGTTCTCCAAAAGCCCATATGCTAAATGCATGACTGCCAGGCTGTGGTATTGGGAAGTTAGGAGGTGGAGGAACCTTTAAAAGTGGGACCTAGCCAGACGGTGGTGGTGCACGCCTTTAATCCCAGCACTCAGGAGGCAGAGTCAGGTGGATCTCTGTTAGTTCGAGGCCAGGCAGATGTGGGACCTAGTTGGAGGAAGTTAGGTTACTGGGGGTGTGCTCTTGAAGGGTGTATTGAAACCATGACCCTTCCTCTCTGTGCTTCCTAGTTGCTATGAGGCCAGCATGCTCTGTTACATGCTCCCTAACATGATGTCCTACCTTGCCAGAGGCCCCAAACAGTGGAGCCTACCAAAATAGACTGAACCCTCAGAAAACATAAGCCAGAATAAAAATTTCCTGCAATAAGTGGATTTTCTCAGGTATTTTGTTATATCAGTGGAAAGCTGATTTTCAAATGTTTTTCCCCAAAGATATATAATGACATGGGGAATAAATATCTACCATTTCTAGGTTGGGTAACTACAGTAATTTTTAAATTTGATTATTGCTTATGAAGTACTAACCAATTCCTTGTTACCTAAACTGCCTTCCTTCCAGGCACTGAGGCCAGTGACAAAGACCAACACTGAACCAGCTGGTTTTTTGTGGTCTTAACTTTGGAGAATCGTGGGCCAGCTTTCCTTTGGCGAGTCAGCCAGGATAGCAGTGGTCCCTCTCTTTTCCCACAGAGGTGGAGGCACTAGTAAAGGGCTGTCGACCCCGGTCCTCTTGAGAGACCAGTGATAACGCATGGGGGCTTTGAAAAGGCCTGTTGAGCCACCGGAGGAGGGTGTAGATCAGACCCCAGGGGAAATCGAGAGAGGAGGCGCCCATGCTTCAGCAAGGCAAAGAAGAGGGAACAAAGCTTCTCCCAGAGAAGGGCCACCTTCCTGTCCTCCCTGGGCTCACTGGTGGGGGTAGCACAATACCTGGAAGATGTGGCCATGGTACAAACACGTGGCAGACTTGAGAGTGCAGTTGGGCTCCTGTCTCAGGCGTGCCTCCACAGTTGGAAGGAGAGTCTCTCGGTTGCCCCAAGCGTATCCTGAAGGTCTCCTTGCAACTGCCTGTAGACTGAGGTGGAAACCTGTGAGGCACAGTTCATTCTGTGGGACAGATCCAAGGATGTGACCCAAATCTGTCTGCAGCCGTCCATTTTAGATAGTATCTCAGGGGGAAAGGCTTTGAGGATGATGAGTCCGCACGGGCTCTGCTTTGGTAGTGTACACCCTCTCAGAGCATCAGTCTCCTCTAGTGAGGGTGGTAGAAAACCTAACTTAGAGTTATGTGGCTGAGATACTGTTCATGGAAATGCTTAGCAGCCAACAGGGGAGCATACACCCCCCCTCTGGCCTCTGCTCACATGTTGGGCCCCAACCCACAGAGTAAAGGGTCAGCAGAAGTCCAGCTTTGGCCCATCGTCCCCCAGGCGTACAGTGACCGTGTGTCTGACAGTCTGAGGAGCCAACCCCAGGCAATGTTCCCCTGGGCGGGTTTCCTTCCACACCTCAGCACAAGGCTGCACTGTGTCGTTAGCTCAGGAAAGGCCCATTCATCTGAGGCAAACTGAATTAGCCAGCAGTCGGCAGCCAGGAAGTCACATGCTACATTCCCAAACCAAGTAGAAATTAGTTTTAAATTATTTGTTGGTTGCTATTATCCATGCCACAGCTCTCTCCTATTAGGGCACATCAGAGCAAATTGACTGCAGTCGATGAATGGATGTTTGGCAAGCCGTTTGCGAGTGTGGGGCTGTCCTTTCCTGTGTGAGCAGTGGAGTCCCCAGCCCACCTATCACAGTGCAACCAACTGAGGGGCTTCAGATAATTTTCATGAAACATATTGGAATCTTCAGGTGGAACCCACACAGCCACACTGTTTCAAGTTCCCTCTACCCCATAAGTTTCCAGTGTGCTGCACAGTTTAAGAATGAGTGAAACATAGTTTTAAAGTTTCCACTTCTAATCATGGGGACAAAATGACCTTGAAGAAAGCACGGTCTATTTCCTTTTCTTTTACATTTA